CCCTAAGCTTGCGAATTCGTGCGACAAGTGCCGACAAAGCAATTCATGGCGCCGCTGATGATCATATTTCAAAGGCGAAAATGAATTAAAGCTTTTAATAAGTTAGCGGGCGAGTGCAATATAAGTGCAAGAAAAGGAAGCTTATGATAGTTCAATATCAATTACTTAAATACCGCTCAGCAAAGGTGTTGCACATTGGCAATGTTTATCCAAAATTTTTTCTGATTATTTGTAATATATGTAGGCATGTATTACATTACATGTGTCACTACGCTGCAGCGAAAAATTACACGGTACTACAAAAACAAACTAATAAAATACACCCGAAACAAAACCTAGTGTGGGTTGTAGGTACATATGGTCGAGTACAACATGAAAATAGGTCCCGTATATTTCCTGCACCCTCCATTTTTTTTATACCGAAATCCCGAACAAGTTTTGAAAAGAGAAATTATAGACATTTAAAACAATGTATAACAATATATGGTTAGACTTAGCTTGTTGAAAGTTTTCTTCGGTTAAATTTTAATGAGCCCCTATTTTTCTTAATTTTTTGAACTTTGATCATCGGTAGTTTCAAAAATTTCTATGAAAGTTGCTAAATCTTTGGTATTTGTCTAAAAGAATAGTTATTTCCAAACAAATGCAATTGCAAAAAAATTGTCGAAGTTAAGCAATTTAAGCAAAAATACGGCCTTGAATTTATATGTGTGTATGTACCGGACGTGCATATTTTTTGAGCAGTGTGGCTAAGGAGTTCATCAATATTTACTCAAAATTGATATATACAATGGCTCTTAGCAAAAAATTTATTTTTCATAAAATTTTAAGAAAATGGACGTGGCACCGATAACTTATATCATATATGCGTATCTCAAAAATTACTTGACCGGTCTCGACCAAATTTGATATACATATACATTGAGCTTGCCCTTCTTAAGCACCATGTGGATTTTTTTTTTTGAAATTTAATGCAGAGATATCCAGGTCGGAGTAGTTTGCAGCCCTACAAAAGTAGTTAGCTTCCCTCGAACAAAATATACAGTTAATAGTTAGCAGTAGTGTTCCCGTAAACAGANTAAATTTAATGCAGAGATATCCAGGTCGGAGTAGTTTGCAGCCCTACAAAAGTAGTTAGCTTCCTTCGAACAAAATATACAGTTAATAGTTAGCAGTAGTGTTCCCGTAAACAGACTAAAGTTAGGTATAAGCTAACGTTACTTCCTACAGGGTGCATTAGGGTGGCCCACATATTTTTTTTTTCAGCCAACCCCCAGAACGGAAGAATATCTAAAATACAAAAAGTGACCCGTATTTTTTTAGTTTGCAAACGGTTCCCGTTTAACTGTGCCGCTGTAGCATTTAAAATTTGGGGCTTTGGGCCTTAGACATATCTTATGGAGAAAATAAATTTTTCGTAGAACATACATATTTTTTGATCGAATAAAAAAATTACCATTCAAAACTTTCCAAATAACAATGATGTTGATTTAACTTTACAATTTTACTAACTGCTTTTTCATTACCGATAATCTCATCTGTTATTTAAAAAAAATTATTATTTTATGCGTTCGTAATCACATTACGCAAGTTTTGAAAAATCGATAAAACAATTTTTGAGTTAAATATACATCATTTATTCTAATGTTGGAAGATTTTTTTTTCGATCAAAAAATATCACTGTAGGAAAGCTAAAATGAAAAAAAAATGCCGAGACACGTAAACTTAATTTTGGGTTGTAGATTACGAATCTCCATACCGCTTTTCTAGATCACGTAATTTTCCCAACATATTTTCTTTCTAACTTTGCACTGCGAAAAAGTCATACTTTAAATATGTATTTAAAAAAACATACTCGTACATGGCGTATGAGTAACATTCTTTCCTGCTCATCCTACTAATGTTATAAATGTAGGATATTTCTTGAAGGGCGTTTCCACTTTTTTAAAAAGTTAAAACCACCTATTTATCAAGTTAAATAAATTGTTACAACAATGTCAAACAAAAGCAGTTTAAAAACGATCTATTTTAAAAATATTTTTGAAGAGAGTTGCCACCTTTTCATAAACTTAAAGTCAATTGAATTAACAATTTAAATCAAACATTTTAATATGGGTACCAAATGAGAAAGGTTTAAAACAAATTTATTTCTAAATATTTTTAAAGAGGGTTGCCACCCGTTAAGAAATTTTAATACAATTTAATTAAAAGGCTAAAAGAAATGTTTTAATATGGGTATCAAACGAGAGAGGGTTAAGAAAACTTTCTTTCGAAAACACTTTTGGGAGTTGCCACCCGTTTACAAATTTAAAACCGTTTTAATCAAACCTACTAATATTATAAATGTGAAAGTTTGAGTTAGTAAGTGTATATGTTTGTTGCTCTTTCTCAATGAAATTTGGCGCACATATAGGCTATGACCTGGATTAACATACAGGATATTTTTATGAAGGGGGTTGCTACTTTCAAAAGTTCAAATCAACTATTTCTTAAGTTATACGAAATATTACAACACCCACATTGTCGAAAAAAATCAAAAATATTTATAAAGATAGTTGCCACCTTTTACATCAAATACTTTAGTATACAAGTGAGAAAGGTTTAAGACAAATTTATTTCAAAATATTTTGGAAGAGTGTTGCCACCAGTTAAACGAAATGTTTTAATATGGGTATCAAACGAGAGAGGGTTAAGAACGCTTTCTTTCGGAAATATTTTTGAAGAGAGTTTCCACCAGTTTAGAAATGTAAGCTCATTTTAATCGACAAGTTAAATGAAATATTGAAATGCAGGTGTCAAGTAAGTCACCGAAACAGAACCTAAACTATTTCCTGAGCAAAGGCAAATCTCCCATAAAATTGTGAGCCTCATGGATAGCGGAGAATGGGCCTTTATTTCTTAGACACAACAGCTACTGGCAAGACATTTCTGCTGAATTTGGTACTGGCACAGTTGCGCAAGAATAAAAATGTTGCACTAGCTGTTGCCTCCTCAGGGATATCAGCGACCTTGCGGCGCTATGTTGTAACAATGCAAATTAATAGTTTGGGAAAATATACGATGTCACACAAGCATGCGGTCGAGGCACACGATCGAAGCTTGCAAGTTATCCGCGGCAGCCGTTTGCTGATGGGGTAGGTAGTCGTATTGCTCGCAGGAGATTTTCGGCAGACGCTACCTGTCATCGAGCGTGGCACTGCGGCAGGGAGATAAGTACGTGGAAATACTGACTAACATCAAGTTATAGAGAGTCCGGGCTCTTTGCTCAAGACCTCCTTGAGACCGGTGAGGGCCGCATGGCAAAGTGCCTGGTGAGGCACATGTCTGTTGATACAGTGATGGCAAATGATGATGCTATAACATATCCTATAGTTTCGAAACTCTTAAGAGTTTTCAGAGGTGCCGTCCTACAAACTGTAATTAAAGGTTGGGTTGCCAGTCATATTGATGCTTAATCTGGACGCACCTCGATTGTGCAGTGGCACAAGACTGTACGTAATGGAGCTGAAAAGACATATACGGAATAAGGTTTTAACAAAATTCTCTCAGGACAAAGTGTATGCATTCTTGAACTAGTACAGTCTCTAAATAATTGGGATACATTTCCTATAAGGAAAAGGCCTT